AAAAAAAAAAAAAATCAAAGAACTTTTACTTCATTACAACTTTTTAATTTTAGTTTCTTTACCTCTTCATTTTGGCTACTTCTTCTTTAAGAACTTTTACTTCCCCAGCACCCATAGACTCCTGAATGGGGCCCATACCAGGTTTCCACCAAGTTGGGGGAACCCAATTAGGATCCGATGCCCCAGCTTCCCTCCTTATGTTAACTAGGTCTGCACTCTCCAACCAATACTCCATTACTCCAGTAGTGTTGTAACACCGGCGAAACCGCTCAGTACCACCCGGTGCTACTTTACCATCAATGTGCTTCAATAGGTGGTCCAATAGCCCAGTGTCACCAATACGTTTGCGAGCTGCCTGTCTCAGTGCAGGCCGGGAAATTGGATTCCCAAACACAGCCCCTTCAGCCTTCAAAATCTCTAACATGCAATCCTCGGCAACCTTAATCCTTCAGAACATATAATTGTTATGCAGAGAAGGTAGCATAAACATATAATGGGGTGAGGTCAGGGAACAAGATGAATGAGAATAACAGTCCTTACCTCTCAGCAGGCCACCTTCCCATGGGGTTGTGGCGCTTGCTTTGCCTCCCCCGTCTTGCGGCATTTTCTTTGCTAAGTTGGTTATAGATGACACACTTTCTCTTCCCTGTTTCTGGGAATGAAGGATACTCAAGTTTAACAGCCTTTTTGTCATCTTTTTCATATTCATCTTCAATGAAACTGGAAGCCTGTTGAGCAGCACTCTGTCCTTGATGGTCCATAAATTTAACTTGTTGTTGGCCAACACCCCACTGTGGCAACCCAGCACGTTTCAATTCAAACCAACACAATCCTTTCTTAGATGTTTCATCCAGGCTCTCACAACTTTCATATGCTTCAGAAGCACCTAAAAGGAAATCGCATGAAAAGCTTCTGGAGATGTACAGATAATTTCTTGGAAGGAATTGCGAAATAGAACCTAATTTTGGTTTTCACTCCAATAAATTGCTGAATTTTCTTTTCTTAACAAGAAGTCATACAATTAAATTACAAAAACAATAATATAACAAGTATCTGGATATCTACTCTATCATGTTAAAAACGCACTGCTCTGGCAGAACAAGATTCCTACACTGAACCAGAATTAATAGCCATGAGCAAGGTATTATGTAAAATAAATTAATATTCCCATTTTAAAGAACTGGGCTATTGCACACTCAATACCACTAAAAATAAAATAATGCATAATTTCATTCCCAAATCTCTATTTTGATTCATAACTTTTCCCACTGCTTTTCATGTGGCTTCCTAAATTTTGACCCAACACATTCACCATTTGGAATTGGAACAACTATGATTACTTTTTATCTCCAACAACCTTAATCTCAAAATTAACAAAGAGTAGGAAATAAATATATAACAGAAAGAAAAACAAACTGCTTGGAAATGATGAGTAATTAAGTATTAAAAGCACACATAAGTACAAAAATGTCATGATATGAATTAAACCTGGCTGCATAACATTTGAATGGACTCGATGAGTGTCTTCAATGCACAAGGGGTAATCCTAAAAATCAGGAGGAAAAAAAAAAAAAAAGAAATCTTGAATAAAAATCAACAAAGCCACAAAAGATAACAATTTTTTAATTCCATTAGAAAATAATACGAACACTATGAAGCAGTAGATAGAACACTGAACAACTGTCATCTTTTTCTTATATAACACAGTTTTCAAGGATATTCCTTAATCATAATCAGACAATCAATAACTCACAAATTTTGTGCAAGCCTAATAGTTTTAAAAAGTAAAATAGAACAAAGGAAGAAAAGAGCAAAAGGGAGAGAAGAGTAGAGAGGAGGGGGCATTTGAAAAATGGGAATACCTTTTTTTCCCAAGCGAGCATCTGATTTAGAAGACTACCTGGTTAATCACAAAGACATGAAGCTTTAGTCTAGAGCCATAGGCAAAAATGTACTTATTCAATTGAAGGCAGCCCCACACAAGCCTGTACCATGTATCCTCATTCATAACAACCAATAAGACCATTTAAGAAACCAAATAACCTTTTTATTAGCTTGGAAAAAGCCACATTTAAAATCATTTATCACTCATATACAATATATCTATGATAAGAGAAATTTAGTCTTTTTTATTTTACATTGTAGGAACAGCACCTTCTTTTGATAGACATATGAACACAAATAATTAATGTCCCTAACCATTACCAACATGGGAAATGTAGCAGTATAGCACCCCAGGACATCTTCAAAAGCACCAGAAACTTCATATATAGATTGCACAAAGACAATGTCAACAAAAGGTGTTAGGCAGGCCCAAATTCAAATCTGCCATATATTGCTCAAAGAAAATTATAAATTGAAAGACACTCCATGCTGCAAAGTTCAAAGATTTTCAATCTCAAGAATACTCAACCCCATGCATATTACAGAAAAATGTTTAACCAAACTAACTGAAAACAAGCACAACTGACACAGCCTCAACTGAAGGGTTGAGATGGAGGAAAACTCAAACCACATTGAGCTTTCCATTGAAGACAAGTCTCCCAGCCAGAGTGATCCAGTACAATTATTAAAATTAAATATTAAACCACGTTTCCATCATCACATCAATGTTTCTAAACCATTTTCTCTTTGGCTCTTTCAATTGTCACAATCAGCACTTGGGTAAAAACAGTAAAAGTTCAAACAATTGATGAAGAATAGACCCCAAGTTTGTTAAAGGCAACAGCTTAAACACCTAGAGCTGCTCAAAACTCACAGAATGTTAGAAACAGAGAACACGATTGACACATTTTACAAAGTAATTATCGCAAATTTCTTTTATCAAAAGCAAGGTTCTCAAAAGTTTATGACCAAAATTTACAAAATTCCTAGACCATCCATGTTGAGGCCACTTATATCCTCCACAATATTGAAAATTTTAAAATAATAAACGATGGAAAAGGGAAAACCAAAACCCAGAAAGCAACATAAGCCCCATGATCCGTACCCTTCTATGTTCCACGATTTTCCTTCTTTTCTCCAAGCAACCAAACAGAACATAAGGTCACATCAAAAGGACATCAAAAGGACATCAAGCGCACACACACACAGAGACAGAGAAACAACGACATCGATAACACGCGAAGAAAGAGAGAAGAGGGAATTAGGGTTTTTTACCTTAAAAGAGATGGAGGGCGACCTTCAACATTCAATCCATCCTAAATCCCTAACCACATTAACAAGAAAAAGAGTCATGGAACATAAAAATTCAACAAAAAGGGGGAAAAATCATCAGTTCAACATTGAATCGAGAGAATACCTTCACGATTCGGAGATCGGGGATGGAGAGACAGAAATTTGAGGATCAGAGATGCGTTTGGGGTTTCAGTTTCAACTTCGAACAAAGGAGTGGGCGTTGCTGCTAGGAACAAACAAAATTCTTCTCCGCCTCAAAAAAAGAAAATATGAAGAGTTCGGCCTAAAACCCTAACCGCTGATTTCTCTAAAACCCTTTAATTAACTTTATATTTATTGTGCTGCTCCCCTATTTATTTAATTTTTAATAATTTTATAATTATTATAGTATCGCGTGTAATTATATATTTATAATTATAATATAAGATTAAATAAATTAATTAGTGTAATAGGAAAGATAGGTTAAAAAATAAAAATTAATTATATAATAAAATATTATATTATAAATTTATAATATTACATAAAATTATATATATAATATTTTTATTGAATTTTATGCTTATAAAATTTACATAGTAAATTGTATTTAGATGGTCCAAATTTTTTGAAAGAAGTTCAATTAGGTTTTTAACCTTTGCATCGTTCCAATTTTGGCAAATATGCTTGTGTCATTTACCCCTTCAAGTTTGTCCAACATACTTTATATAATAATTAATTAATAAAATTTTATATTTATCATTAATTAATCACTACTTATATGTAGTTATTACAATCAGTAATGCTATAGTTATAATACTACATAAAATAATAAATTTATAATATAATGTGATATTAAATGAATATAACGTATCATTAAATAAGTTAATACATATAATATCATAAGTGGATTATTAAATGAAGAAAGTGAACTATATATCGACATATTATATGTAAATTTATAATATCATATGGTATTATAACTATAGCATTTTGTTATTATAATATATTTTGTAATAATTTTATTAAAATAAAGGTAAAATTAAAAATAAAAACTTTAAATGACATTTTAAAAATAGGGAGTGGATAAATTTTAATATCTATATTTATTTATTTTTCTAGTTTGGACAGTCAAGATATCTTTTATCCAACTTTTGCATATTTCAAAACTAATTTTTTTATAAATGATCTTGATGGTGCACCTTTCATATTAATCTAATTTTAAAAAAAAAACTTATTTATTTGGGTACTAGTCTCGAGACTTAAACCTTCAATTTGACTCACAAAATGCTTACTTGTTATTAATTTAATTTTTAGAATTTTAATCTCTATTTAAAGAGTATGACAGCTAAATTTAACAAAAGAAGTATTGTTCTTTCCTTATAGCATACAAGCATTCGTAATCATAATTCAAGCTCATATATTCTATATGACAAAGAACATGTACCATATGGCGCGAGAACCACAATTTTGCTCCTAACATTCCTAAATTGTTTCAATTGAATTTCAAATTTATTATTTTTATATGGTATATAGGTTTTAATATATTCCATTTTGGTGATCATAGATATGACAACCAATTAAAATTTGATCAATTACAATATATTTAAATAAAATTATAAAATTAAATTAAATAAAACAATAATGTGTATATGTCAAGATTTCAAATTTTAAAATTTAAAAGTGGTCAAGACCTTAATTTTAGTTTCTAATTCAACATTACAAGTTACAACTAAAGTTCATGAATTTTTTTAGTACAAGTTGTTAAAAAAAAGAAAGAAAGAAAAAATCCTTATTCTAATAGAATGGTTAAAATTTTATGATTAGATTGTGTGTTATCATATTCGGTCATGTGAATAAGGAATTAAGGATAGGAATCGAATCAAAACAATTGAAAATTTGAAGATGTAATTTGACCATGATTGAAAGATTGAGAATCAAAGCATGCAACTTTCTCCATTTTAGCTTTTGCTGTGGGAATCGGAATTCGGAGGCCGGACGATGCTGCATCAAAACTTCTGAATTCAGATGCAACGTGGAGAAAAGAGATTGGTTACGGGATTTTAAAAACATTTTCTTTGGGAACTTTTTTCGCCCCTCTGATTCTGAATTTCTGATTCGTTGCGGCGTTGCGTCAGCTGATTTGCTGATTAAAAAACAGCTGTCCATTGGTTTTTTTTCCCGAAAGATATGATTACGATACACAATAAATTGTTACGGTAAAAAAATATAAATATGTTTTTTAAAATATTAATTGTATTTAATTTAATCGTTAATAATAATTAATCCATGTAGTTATTAATATTTTTATTTTAAAATAATTGTTATAACTTAATTTTAAATTTATTTTAAATTAATTATTATTTTTTATTTCTTAAAGTAAATAAATATTTATTTAATTTTATTTTTTTTATTATTATTATTTTGTATTAACCTTTGCTATCTACTAATTATATATTAGGTTTTATTACAAGGAAACTCTTTTAAATCTGTTTTTTTATTTATAAAATTTAAATTCGAGATTTTATTTAAGAGAAATTGAGTTCATTCGAGTCGGACCAACAGGTTATTAGTAATTTTATTTTAATTAATTATTTTATCATAAAAAATTTTATTTTATCTTTAATTTTTTCTAATAATAATATAGATAAATATATAAATTATTTCATATTTTTAATTTAAAAAATTAAAAAATGATAATGATAGAAGATAGTGCTTATCAATCTCAATTACTGAAAAAATTAAAATATCAACTTATATTTAAAAATTGAAATCTCAATTTAAAATTTTAAAATTTAATTATTTTAAAATTTTAATATCAATATTTAATAAAATAAATTTTTAATTTTTAAATTAAGTTTTAACTAACTTAAATGAAGTAATTTAAAATTAAAATTCTAATTTTTTTAAGAGTTAAAATTGATATATATATTTTTATTTTAAAATAAAGAGAATAAATAATAAATTAAATAATATATATTAATTAATAAATTAAAATTAATTAATTTATTAATATTTTTAAATATTATAACTAATTGTTTACATAGAAAATAAAAGTTGTATGGCAAAGCGTGGCCTTAACCCATGCCTATTGAAAACAAGCTTCCAAATTAGGTCACTACTCAATAACTTTTTAAAGTATTATTCACTCTTTATCTATACCAAAATTCGAATTGAAATTAAAAAATTTATCTATATCCTCAAGAGGAAATAGAAAAAAAAAAAAAAAAAGAATTTTCAGTCCAGTGGAGGAAAATACCATTCAAGTCCTGATTGACATGTTTGTGACAATTCTTTGCTGAATTTTTTTTAGCCACTCACTGAATCTAAAAAACTATACTAAAAATGTTTCAAGTTCATATTTTGAAACATCAGGTTACCATGGCAATTGAATCTTTGGTTACTCTAGAAATATTGGTATCACGAATTGTCTTCT